ATTTGTCTGTTAAATGTTGAATGTTATTGTAAGTCCTTGTCTGTTCATAAGTCTTTGCACTGAAAAAAAAAAAAATCATAAGTCTTTGCAACATTTGGATTTATGTTGAAAACTTGGTGTGCTTGTGCGTGTGCGGTCGCGACTATAAATGTGTGATTTTATGTGTTTGTTGTCATAGTGTTTGTATTTCTGTGTTCTGATCGATTTATTTGGTTTCTGTGATCTAACGGATTTGTCTGGACTAAGTAACTGCCTTTGCGTCTTTGGTTTGGTAAGTTCTGCAGGATTTGATTATTTCTGGTTTTTGACTTCAGACTGTTGTATTTGGACTCTGATTTATTGGGATTTCGGAGGCATTTGATGCAGCAGGGAATAGATGTGGTGATGTCTGCAGATTTGTCCTTTTATGTACATTAATTTTAGCCTATATAGTTAATGAGTTATACCCTTAGATACATTGATTTTAGCCTAGGTGATTAATATGAATACAGGTTATGGTATGCACTTCACATCTATATGTCTTTTTATTAGCATTTGTGTTCTTGTGTTTGTTTTTAGTATTGCACTGTAGTAGGGCTGTTACTGGACCATAATGCCAATAGTGATGCTTAGGTGTGTCAATGTAGCACTTGCTTTAAATTAATTAAATAAAAAAGGGAGAGATGTAGAGGAAGCAGTGATTATGTTGGTCCCGTGTATAATACGCATAACACAAAAGGCACTAGAGGTAACTGTGAAGAAAATTTTTGTGATGCAACTAACACCAATTGAGCAAATGTTTTTAAGGCAATGATAAGATAGCTTAGCTTTTTTTTGAAAAGAAAAAGGGGGAGATGTTGTGGTCGATGTAGCTTGAGAGTTAGCATGACTAGGCCGTTTAAGTTAAAGAGTTAGCATAGCTGGACAGGCCGCTGGAAAGGACAGCTAAGAATAAACATGATGTGGGTTAGCAAAAACAAGATGTGTTCAAGGACATGGAGGCGGTCTGCTGCTATTGGCGTTAGTGCATAGTTACCAATCATAAGAGAATATGGGGTGCATGAACAGCGCCTGATTTATGTCTTTAGCCTATCCGAATAAGCGTGATTGCGTGTACAGATATGAAAAATGTATATAACCACGCAAGCAGACCAATAAATCGGGGAATCGACTGTGCATTGTATCAATGTGTGAGAGTCGTTCCTGTCCCTGCACAGATGCTGAAACTTTGCAGATGTGAAGAAAATCCCTCTGTCTGAAGTGATGCCATGGTCAGGTGACCACCATTTCCAAGGGAAGAGTGTGTCCAGAGAGATGTAAACCTTCGCAGAAGCTCTTTGTGTGTTTGTAAGACCCTGATTTCAGAGGTACTTATGAAAAAAAGATTCACAAAGGCATGCATGCTATCTATATGTATCTTTCTATTTCTTAGATTTGCTTGTGTGATGTGTGAGATGCTGCTAGCGATCTAACCAGTTGTTTGTAATCATCCATGGTAGGTAACTGCTAACACAAAATAAGCATTTCTACTTTTTTATGCATTTGAGAGCATTTTGAAATGAAACCTCCTTGCTTCTATTATGTCTTTCTCTTTTGCGTGGAATGATGATTTCCATTATCCTGAATATGCAAATGTCACGTACGAGATATTTTGTGCACTTGTAAATTCAGCAGGCATTTTCTTGGCACCTCAATATTCCATTGATGCCACTGGTACTTTACACTCTTCATTAGAAAAAAACCCACAACAGTATCTTGCCAAATTACGTGAAGTCTAATCTGGCCTTTACCTCTGTACATCTAAAAGTGGTGGTGTAACCCCCCTTTCCCTGTCCAGAAGCAGGA